TAAGGGGATGCAGGAAGCTGCCTTTGCCTTTGGAACCAAGGATCTGAGCCTCTAAGGCCACTAACTTGCCCCCTGCACAGAGGTCCTCCCTCCCGTATGGCATCTGCTGGGGAGTTCAAAACCCACACCTTCTCCCAAATTCACTCACTTTTCATACATCATATCCAAGAACGAATAAAGGGGCAAGAACTGCCACTACCCTTCTTAGAGAATAAATCACTTATTTTGTGATCACTGAAAATCAACAGAATAGGCTGCTCTAGAGACCAGCTCATACTACATCCCACCAAGTGGATAGTTCATCCTTTTCCCATTTGCCATAGCTATGGGATACTGCTTTGCTTTCTCCCACTGAGAAAACCATTCCCTCCCTCCTCTCCTAGGTTCACCATTCTAGACTGGCTGAAACTGATTTCAGATGATTTGGCTACCAGCTAGCAAGTCAAAAGATAAAGACTGACTCACAAGCCCTGAGAATAACTTAGTGCCTTCCTATTACACAGACAGTGGGAAAGACTGCCTAAACTGTGCATTGTCATAAAGCAAACTTTAAAGGCACCTGTGGGCAGAAGAGAGGGATATATCTCCAGGTTTTAGTTCACACTAGGGGAGAGAAGGGGAATGAAAGGACAGCCTTGCTAACAAAATAATAGAAAAAATTATCTAACTCACAGTTTTCTCAGTAAAGGCTAAGATCAATCACATAAGCTCTCTTGCTAACAGGTATCCTGCAGGGTTCTGTTTTCACAACATCTGAAAAGAGCTGAGCATACAGAAAGGAAATGTAAATCTTTCTCTTTTACACTGCCAAACCTAAAACTGCTTTTGAGGGTTTGCTTTTTACAGCCTTGAAGAGCTCCTGAGCTGACAGCCAGCACTCTCTCCCTCTTCTGCTTCTGTGCTGGCTCTTTTTCCAACTGGAAAAAGTAACATAAACTTTTCCTTCTTGCTATCCCAATATTTGTTTGGAGAAATCTTTCTCAAAACCCTCATTCACTAGCTCACACCCTAACAGGAAAGAACAGAGAAAGGAAATTCCTAGAGCCATGTTTCCTAGAGTAGATCCTGTAGAGACCTGTCTAGTGAATACTCCTGGGGGTAGGGGAGGGTAAGAACTGGGTAAGGCATTGTGGTAGGGATAAAAAGGTGACACCACCAAAAGAGTCTAGGAAGTACTACTTACCCACCCTCACCAACTAGAGTTACAATGAAAATTGGCACATTAAAGAAAGTCCCACAATAAAGAAAAATGTTTCACAAATGTGACTATGGAACCACCATAAGTAATATTTCACTAGCTTTAGAATTGTGCTATAAAATATGGTAATACAGGTTGAATACCCTTATCCAAAACGCTTTGGACCAGAAGTGTTTCAGATTTTGGATTTTTTTGGATTTTGGAATATATGCCTATACATAATATCTTGGGGGTGGGGCCCAAGTCTAAACATCAAATTCTTTTGTTTCATATACACCTTATATACATAGCCTGGAAGTAATTTTAAACAATAGTTTTAATAATTTTGTGCATGAAACAAGGTCTGGGTTATGCACTTACGTGTGGAATTTTCCACTTGTGACATCAAGTCCGAACTCAAGAAATTTTGGATTTTGGAGGATCTCAGATTAGGGATGCTCAACTTGTACTAGCCATGCGTAGTTAATGAGCACCTGAAACATAGCTAGTCCAAATTGAGATGAGCTTTAAGTGTAAAATACACATCGGATTTCAGAGGATTAGTACGAGAAAAGATTGTTAAATATCTCAATTTTTTATATTGATTATATGTTGAAATAATGTTACTTTGGGTATATAAGATTAAATGAAATTATTAATATTTCACCTGTTTCTTTATACTAATATGACTACTAAGAAATTTAAAATTATATATATGGCTCACATTATATTTCTATTGGATAGCACTTCTTTAGAAAATGCTAAGCCACAACAAAGGCTTAGAAACTTCAGCTATTTCTTATTATCTTAGTATCTGTGCCATATTTTTCACCTGAAAGAGAGGTACTATAGCTCAGAACTTGGGAACAGTGTAAAAGAAACGAACAAAGACGAACAAAGCATCTAGAATTCATAAGATAGCCCACCTAACAATATGTAATGCCAAAAGTATCAAGAAATGAGGTCTATGGTTTTTTGTTTTGTTTGTTTTACAAAAGATGAACACCTCTCATTTTTGTCAAAAATCTCTTGGATAGTTATGTAACAATAGAGAACTATTTCACTTTGCCTTTCACTCCACGGTCCACCTATAAAATTATTTCTAAATAGCATGTGAAAGATTGAGTAAATTTGGGGTTTCAGTAACTGCAATCACTATGTGCATCCAGTAATGGCGAAGACAGAAGTCCCTTCAGGGATTGCCCACGAGGGTGCTGCTCATGGGCCACTGGGTTATATATTTATTGTTCTATAGAAGATTCCATTATCTACCACTCACTACATAACATGTGGCAAACCACTTCACCCCCTATTTTCTGTGAAAGGACATAGGTGTGTGAATGTCTAAAGTGTTTGAGAAACTGCATAATTAAATTACTACTGACTTCACTATTCAACTCTGAAAGCAAGGTAAAATATCACTAGAGGAAAACTACTGTACGACTGAACACACAACCCTCTTTGAGGTTCCACTTCCTTAGTTGTAAAACAGGAATAAGAACATCCATCTTACAAAGGCATCTGGTGATCAAGCAAGGGAAAGCTGAATGTGCAGCATGTTGCCCGGCACCGAGGAAACACAAACTTTCCTCTAGACTCTGCTCTTTGGGCTTTAGTCCTCTGCCTTCGAGGTAAGGGTTGCACCTAAAATCCAGAGGCTGTATATTGTCAGTTGTTATAAAGCAAGTAAGATTACAAAAAGCTCAGAAAATCTGTCAGACTATGACAGGAAGTGGGCTTTTCCCTTTCTTGATCTTACTCCTCAGAAGTGGCAGTTCACTAACATCAAGTTGCCACTTAAGTGGCTATTGTGTCATTTTCTGGCATCTAAAAGAGAGCAAGCTGGGGACACCCACACACAAGGGCCAGTGATGGGTTTCTCAGGGTCCCCAGGAATCCACTCGCTCTAGCAGTCACTGTCCTCCACGGAAATGGCTCCACTATAATGTGTCCTGTCCTTTCATTATTGAGGCCCCATTCCCATGCCTTGCCCGCCTCAGGCCCTCAAATAAAATCTTCATTTGCTGCGAACCAAGACAGATGCCCCTCCTTGCTCAGATGCGGCATCTCAATTTATAAGAAACACAATGTTTTTTCTCCTACCCTCAGACCAGGGGTCTCTCTCCTTCTCCACGCTGTAGAATTTCTCTATGTCCAATCACCCTGTCAGCTTCACAGAGGGAGTTAAAGGGAGAAATTTTGAGAAATGAGGAATTTATATTAACTTTTTTCTGTAAGTAGCTGAAGCAACTATTATAATGCCCTAAAGTTGCCTAAATAATCCTGGGGCAATATACTCTTGTACTAGATAAGTATGCAATAAACAGAAATACATTCGGAATAGTAAAGTTCTTGGATGGATTTCAAATGGATATGGATTGAGGCAATAGGAAACAAAGTCATTCAAAGTTCTGGCCCAAGCTGTTCAGAAAATATAGATATTTCTAAGTGTCTACATAAATCAATAAGTCCATTAGCAAATCACCTATCTCTGTATTACAAGGGCAATGGGGTTAAAAGAGGTCAGAGGTCTGGATCACCCAGAACCCCAATCATGTGCCAACATGTTGAGGAGACACTGAACCTCTTAGCTCTTGGGACAGATGGACAAATTTCCCATATAAAAGTGACTAGTTCTCCTCTGTACCCCAGTCTATCCCTGTCATAGCACAGATCCAACCACATCATATTTGTCTACATATTTCCCCCACCTGACTGGGTCCCTTGGACCCCTAGGGCCAAGTATATAATAATGCTCAATATTTACAGAAACAGGAACATATACTGGACTAGCCATGTTTCTCAAACCAAGAGCATTGAGGGCTGAGATTATGCAAAGTCACAAGATGAACAAGTGCATCTTCCTGGAGATCAAGCTTAATACATTTTCTTATTAAAACATTTTGAGAAGAGACACCAAAATATATGTCGAGTTCATAAAATAAAGTCTTGTGGCAGGCTGGCAGCTTCCAAATTGAGGGCTATAACGCAGACTGCCAGGTGTACAAGTTCCCAACCCTTTCTGCTACGGGGCGCCTGCCAAAGCTAAGAAATCCAAGAAGCCCTGGACTCTATATGTGCCTTACCTTTTGAGAGGCTGAAAGCACTTTATTAGCGGTCAAAGATCACCAATGCCACTTTCTAAGGGGAAAAAACTCCAGGCTAATCATGCCTAAACTACTCAGAAAGTTAATGCTGACAACAGGAAAAGAGCTCTCCTCAATTGCTGGCCCACGACATCACATAATTAAGCTTTTTAAAAAAGGCGTTATACTTTTAAAAGCCTAGAATAACGTACTATAGCTTGTTTGGGTCCAGGTACCCTTTGATCATTTTCTGGAATGGAGGCCATCATCAAAGAAACCCTCATTTCATGCCTCTCCCCTTTTTCCCTGCTTGGCTGCTTCACCCCTCAGCAATAAACCCTCAGAGCTCTATGTAAACAGGAATCCCAAGCACCTCTCCTTCGGCTTCCCTACGGAACCCACCCACCCCGCCACACACACCTGAAGCCTCCAGGTCAGTACTCCTGCTGCAGGTGCGGTCGTGCAACCACCCCGTAAATACCTCCCCTCCGGAGAGGGACTTCCGCACTCCCCAGAAAGGGCTTCCAACAGTCCAGAACTTTCTGAACTTTTCTCCAGTCCAAGCCTTCAAGGCTCTTGGCCAACCACGTCCCAAAGAGTGGCAGGGCAAACATCTTGAGAGGAAAGCGAGATTGCAGAACCAGCTTTCTTCCTAAAAGTGCTTCCAGGGGCCGCAGGCAGGAGGGCAGACGCTTACACACACCCCCACCCGACCTAGAGCCGCAGGCCGCACTCACCTTGGCCGACGTCTCCCCAAACAGAGGTCTGTTGTCCAGGCGAGTGGTGCCATAGGTCCTGGTAGAGAAGTCCTCCATTTTAGGGTTTCTTCGCTCTCCCCAGGCCACTCAAAAGCGAGCCAGCATTACCTCCCGAAGTCTCCGGCCCGCAACTCCGACCGCCGGGTCCTCACGGCGCACGCATAGCCAGACCCCCGCGTGGGCGCTCACTCCCGGGGCGCGCGGCCGCTCCGCCCGAGCCCCGCTCTCCTCATCCTGAGCAGCTAACGCAGGAAGTGAAAGGAAACAAACACTGCGCGGCCGAGTCGCCGCGGGACGCCCCCGCCCAGCAGCTCCCACTTCCCCAAGCCTAAGCTCTCGCCGCGCTCGCCCCGGCTGCGGTTAGCGAGGCAAATGGGTTTCCTCTCGCCCCCGGGGTGATCCCACGCCTCGCCCGTTTCTCTACACAATAATTTCCCAGGTTTTCCAGATTTTCTCCGGTGAGCACGTATGCCTTCATGCTCGAGGTGGGGAAAGTTTTCATGGAAGAACTCATCAGGGACCCCTCTCCGGGTCCTCTGCGCCTCCCCAGCCCCTCCATTCCCGAGCGGCAGGAGAAGTGAAGTTGCCCGAGCAGAGCCGAGCGCTCCGCACGCCCGTCCCGCAGCGCGGCGGGTTCGGGTCGCTGCCGGGGCCGCGCCGAGCAACTTGGATCCCCTCTCGGGTGTTGTGTCTACCCCAGGGCCGGCGTGCTCGCCGCTGCTCTCCCGGCGCTCTCTGCGGGCGCCGCGGCAGGAGCACAGGCTGGGCACGGCGAGCGGGAGAATCCCGCCCCGGCCCTGCACGGATTGGCCGCCCCGCGCCCGCAGGCCAAACCTCGGCTTCCTGCACGCTGAGGAGCCCTGGCCGCGCCCGGAGCGCGGGCCCCGGTCCACGCCCCGCCGGGATCCGGTGCCTAGGCTCGGGGACGCCCGCTCGCCGGGTCAGGGAGGAAGAGACCTTCCGCGCTGGCAGAGAGCGGGCGCTCGGCCCCCGCGCGCCACGGCGGGTCCCCTCTCAGCTGTCCCCCAGCTCTCCTGGCCAGGACCCGCGGCCACTGTCGCAAACCCGCGCGACCCGCCCAGACCACGTCACGACCGAGGCCGCCAATCCCCCGGGCCAAGGCGCCGCATTGGCTGCGGAGATTTATTGCTAGAGGTGCCAGCTTATTCCCCGTGGGGCGGCCAATCTCCGCGGCTACACGTTTCTCAGCCTCTTAGTAATCAGCGTCTGCTCGATCCTCATGGGCAAAGCCCATTTCTGAAGATAGTTTTGCACTTGGCGGAAAGGGTCTTAGAAACAATCAGCCTGCTTTAACCACCCCAGTCTTTGCACAACTAAAACAGGGTGGGAGTTATTGGTAATCTTTGCTTAGGGTTGAGTATGTTTGTCTTCTTTTGTTCTATGATAGGGATCTTATGTTGTTTACAGTCGGGAGGCAATAATGCTAGGTACTTTTTGGACTTGTGCATTCATCCCGCCAGTGATGGTGCTGACTAAGCAAGTTTGCAACCTCAGAGCCAGAGCTGCTCGTGTCAACCTCTTCTCCAGGTTTTAGGGTATAAAGAACTGGAGGTGGACAGGCCAATGAAGGTAGCTTAAGTCTCTCTGCATTTGGAGTCATTTATAAATATTTGGAAACAGCCATGCTGGATTCTGGGGACACCATGCAGCGGTCCCCAACCTTTTTGGCACCAGAGACCAGTTTCACGGAAGACGATTTTTCCACGCATGTGTTGGGGGTGGGGAGAGGCGGAGCGCAGGCGGTGATGTGAGCAATGGAGAGCGGCTGTAAATACAGATGAAGCTTTGCTCGCTTGCCCGCTGCTCACCTCCTGCTGTGCGCCCCCCCTTCCTAAGTTTTGTGGATGACAACTTTTCCACCCCTGGGTGGGGAGTAGTGGGGGGAGGTTGGAGTGTACTCGTCTGTGGCCGGCGGATCGGGGACCGCAGCTATATAGCACCTGTTGAAAAGGCTCTGTAAACGTTTGTGTGCAGGAAGAGTCTAGGTTGAAACGTTGTACCCATACAACACTTAGCATCCAAGCTATGATTCCAAGTGGTTACTCAACAGTTTAGGATAAGGGATGAACTAAGAACCGCACAGATATGTAGATTTGGAATTTGCAACACTGAGTAGAATTAGGTATGGTGCATATCTGATTTACCAGTTATATATTTTACAAATGATCTTCTGTTTGCTCAGGACTTTTTGATAAAACAGCATGCTATACAATCCTGCACCCAGTTCTATTAGAAGGTTTATTGGCCCTACAAATAACTTTATTCACTCACATTCAGCCTCCTTCAACAAAATACTTTTGAGAATCTGCTGTGTACCGGGCAACTACCAGATGGGGTAATATAGTGATCAAGACACAAGCATAGTCCTAATCTTGGCACTAGAGTGGAAGATAGAGATACATGATAGCCATCTAGAGAAACGAAAAAGTACAGTGGCTAAGAGCGCAAGCTTTGAAGTTGATCATATTTGCCCTCAAACCCTAATGCCACCATCTACAAACTATGTGTTCTTATCTAGCCTCTCTAGAGTTGCATCATATGCAAAAAGTAAAGATGACAAATTGAACTATAATATCTAACTTCAATTTTTTTAAAAAATGAATATTTAATAGACAGTATATAAGACATCAGCAAGAGTAAGCATCCAAATGGTGGCTGTCATAAATGGTGATGAGTGTTGTCAACTGGACACCAGGGGGCGTTATGGGGATACACGGAAGGGCACCCACTTGCTTCAGGTGGCAGGGAAAGCTTCCTTGAGGAAGGCTCTAAATCAGAACCCCAAAGGAGACTATGAGTTTGCCAAGATGAGGAGAGGCAAGAAGCCAGTCTAGAGAGGCCAAGTATTTGTGTAGGTGTGTTTGAGGAGGAGGGTTGAGTCAGGGATAATGACCTTCTCACTCTAGATGTGCTTATTCTCATCTCATCAATTTTAGATATTGTTTTTTCTAAAAACCAGCTTCCTCTGTTTCCTTGTGATTACGACTTCCCAAAACTTCAACTCACCTATGGTTCTAGCTTGTTTTGATGCTAAACTCAAGGAAAAGTGGACCTTACAGCTCCAGTGCCCACACTGCTTGGCAGGCTCAGTATCCATTTTTCAGTTCAGATTCTCCTAAAGAATTTTGACTGGCTCAGTCCAGATTATGGGTTGATTTCTGGCTGCATCAGGCCCTCCACCTCCAGCCAGCCAACCGAAGGCACCAAGTGGAACACAGTTTCTAAGTTCTGCCCCTTTCAGCAGAGTGCTATAGAGGATTGTTGAAAAGAAGGGAGTATGTGTGGAAGTCAGTGATAGGATTTTCCAGTGCCTTGCCACTCAAAGTGTGGGGCCCTGGACCAGCAGCGTCCGCATCACCCTATAACTGGTTAGGAAAGCAGAATTTCCAATCACCCCAAATCTACTGAACCATAATCTACATTTTAGTAAACTAAATACCCAGGAGATGCATATGAACATTGATGTTTGAAAAGCACTTATTTCACATACCTTTATTTTTACAGATGAGACCCACGCCCTGTACCATGACTTACCCTCCCATACCATGACTTCTCAGTTCTTGCTTTTCATTCTGCTTCAGCCACTCATTCCCATTTCACCTTTTGGACTTTGTCGACATCCAGAATTGTACCAATGACTGATATAAATCCAGACCATTTTGGTAAGCCTTATCCTCCAGTTCTCTCACTCATGGTCAATATATTATTCCTTCAGCCACTTTAGTATCTCTGATCCTTTGGTCTTTTGACTTTCTCCTGGTGGACCTTCTCCTGTTTTCACTTTCTTCCAATTTAGATTCTGTGTTCTATCGCTCCAATTGCTCTTTTGATAATATCTTCAATTCCTTTGCCCCATTTATTTTATCACACCTGTGCAGAAAGTCCTCCGTGATAGTAATCCTTCTGTGTTCTCAACACTTGTCACCAGGTGTCTAGTGCAGCTGAAGGGAAAAAAAATCCTAAATGCCCCTGATTGCAGTGTTCTTAAATTAACAGCAGCCAACCTCAACTGTGCCCTTAAAACCATCTGGAAATCTTGTGTTGCCTGGGCAACTCTCTCTTACGTTGTCTACTGTCTTCAGACTCCTCCCCCTCTTCACCCCTCCTTCCCCTCAGCAAATAACTCAGCTGCCTGCTTCACAGAGAAGAACAGAAGCCATCAGATGGGAATTCCCTCAACTCCCCAACAAACCTACACATTCACCTAAATCCAATCTCTTCCATTACTCCTTCCCTCCAATTAGAATGGAAGAGATGCCTGCCCAGCTCTCACATTTTGCATCCCACAATCCCAGAGGTGTCACTATTCTGATTATATTTTTCTCTATGAAAAGCATTTAAACACACTCAGTTCCAACCATATTACAACAAACAAACAAAAAAACTTCATTGAGCCCATGTCTCCCTCTGGCTACCACACTCCCTCCACATCCTCTAAGGAACCCTGGGTTGGCTATACAGCCACCTTTCTTCTTCCCTTCTTCCTTGAAAGCAGAACCTACCTCCCAATAAGGGGAGAAAATGCCAGATATTCACTTTGAGACTCCTTTGTAGCTGGAGGAGGGGATGTGAGTGTTTAGGGCAATGAGTCATTAGGGCAAGTCAGCTGTGGACATTCAGGAAGGTTTCCTCCCTGATGAAAGGAGACAGGCACGTGAGCAGAGCTACCTCTCTAGACGTTTTCACGTGAGGACATGATGTTTGGAGATGATTCCATCTTATGACCATGAAGGGTGGCCAGGTGTATCCCAGAGAAGCCAACCATAGTCTAAAGCTGTGAACCACCCACTTATGGCTTCTTGTTATGTGTTGTGTGTGTTGAGTGGAGAAGATCTCTGTTATGTAAGTCACTTTTATTTGGATACTCTCATGCTTACAGCTGAAACATATTTTAAAGGTATATTTTAAAACATAACATTTTTAAAGGCAAAATTTCTGTAGAAAGGTCCATATAGATTGTATCCACTTCCTTACCTCCCACATTTGCCTCAACTCCGTGAAATCTGATTTACCTGCATTCGCTGCTCCACAAGTATTCGCCCATGAAGGGTCAAGTGAGGGCTTATTGCTAAATCCAGTGAACACTTTTCAGGCCTTCTCCCACATGGCCTCTTAGCAGCACATAGAATTTAAAAGTCCTGGAAATAAAGGCTGGGCACAGTGGTTCGTGCCTGTAATCCAAGCATG